ATATTGGAGGAGGTTTCTTTGGCATAGCAGTTTGCATGATGTTTTTTGTAGACGGAAGTAGATTGGTGAGCCGAAGGGGTGTGGGTCCCCTTCTTCCCTCCCTTCCAGGTTCAGTATGAATAGATCGCCCCCCATGACGGCTACTTTTGTGTTGTCGATTCTGTGCTTTTAAAGCATCTCTTTGATGATTATTGGTTGTCGAATTGTATGTTTAAAGCCTCTCTGTGAGGATTATTGGCTGGCGAGATACCTAAGACGAGCGGTTAGCATCCATATCCAATAACGATTGCTCTATTCACTGAGTCATAAGCACTAACATCCGCCATCCAGTAATGATCGCTCTATCCGCTGGTTTAGAAGCGCTCGTCAACCCAGATCAAACATGCCCCACGCACGTTAAAAGTCAAACCAGATTCACTCAATTAGGTCAATCCAAGTTTAGCGCTCAGTCAAGTTAAACAGTGTTGGGCCATGGCGCAACATTTAAGTAATTGGACTGATAGTCCACCAAAAGATGAAATAGTCAAAAAGATCTTATTAAAGTTATGAATGACGCGGATTACGGGCAACTGATCGGATTTTAAGGTAAATTGTGTAAGGTAAGTCTGTTACAGATTTTATTAAGGTTAAATATAGGAAAGAGAGGGAAGACCAGGTACGTTCTATTGAATACTGAAAAATACTCTATTGTAAGGATAGTGTTTTTTCCTTGAGAGCTGACGCTCCATAACCCACGTCTGACTTGGGCGTCGGGGTATCTTCGCAGGTACTCCCTCCCTTTGTTGAAGTGGATGACGTCCAGAAACATCAGCTAAGGAGAAATAAGAGTTCCAGACATTTAGAAACAACAAAGACATTGTATCTCGATCCCAAATATCTATACAGAAATCGTTATTATATTGAGATGACAAATATTCACTAAGGATGAATTGAGGGTTTAAAAAGAACGGTGGAGAGGTGATGAGTTCAATCTTTCACTAACAGATACTAACAATTAACATGGATAAAAAAATAAATAAATCATTTTTTCCATTGTCTCTTTTTCTACTAAAAACTTTTATTTTGTTATTTTATTTTTCACATATGTTTGCTTCTTTTCTTTTCTCATCTACTTTTTTTTTCCTTTATCTGTTTTTCTTTCCGTCAAATTCACCCTTATAAACAAAGTCAAAAGTGAAGAGTGAAATTAATTTATATGAAATGCAACGTAAAAGAACATGGATTCGTGCATCACTATCAACTACAACAGAAAAATGTTGAACTTGTTTATCCCTCCAGAGAAAGGAAAAAAATGGTTTTGGGACACACATAATAGTAACTATATATATATATATATATTATTCAAAGGACGCTTTATGTGAATGGCTCCTGTTCATAGCATCCTATTAAAGTTGGCACTTGGTGGGGGTATGAAAGAGATTGTGCGAATATATTTCTTATTGTATATATAGATAGTAGCATTGCTTTGCTAGATTTGTACTTTAGCTAAGAACTGAGAAAAGTCACCATAGGAGTTGGGAGAAGATGGGAAGAATTTCAAGGACCAGGAGTTACGCAATTGCCTCTTCAATGCAAGATAACCAAAACCAACCACCTTTCGTTACATGCACCACTTTTAACATTCTTGCACCAATATACAAGCGTCTCAACCATGAGGTTCTTCTTTTGTGTTATGTGTTTCTCATGTTTGCATTGATCACTTGCATAAATGGGGTGCTCTAAATTTGGATGCTTGTTTTCACTGATCTGTGTTTTGGTGGGTTGAAAACAGGATCAAAATTGCCGTGAAAGTGACTTCAAAGCATGCTGGTTGGCCAGGAATCAAAGGATATTGGATTGGTTGTTGTATGAGAGATCTTCCATAATCTGTCTTCAGGTTTGCATGATCAATGAAATAGATTGGACCTGGAATCTTCTTTAATGGGCTTAAAAGCCTAGGGTAGCATGTTTTTATTCATTACACAAATGTTGATTAGAAAATTAACCATTATAGCTTATGATAAAATATGATTATATGAGGTCTCAAGTTCAAATCTTCTGGCTGAAAACTGTTTTTTTCTTCTGTCATGGAATGCTTTTGTGGGGTGGTGGTGGTGCTGATGATATGTTGGATTTGTGCAGGAATTTTGGATTGGAAACGAAGAGCTTGTTGATTTGTATGACAAGAGACTTGGTGATACTGGTTATATTAATTTCAAGCTTGCAAGGACCAACAATCGTGGTGATGGTAAACACATTCTCCCTCAATTGGAAAATACATTGTTGAACTCTTCTAGGACTTTTTTTAATAAACTTTCATAAAAACTTATGCAGAAGAAAGTAAAAGAATAAAATGGAAGTTTCTCAAAATTTAGAAAATTCACTTTTGTAGAAGTTGTCCCACCTAATTCCTTCAAAAACTTGAACAAAAATTGATTATCAGTGTTTGTATGGAAGTTTATTCAAACTGGGTCTTTATAGATCTAAATTCTGATGATGTTTTCATACTTAATTTTCCATACGCATGGTTTTATTAGCAACTTGTTGAATTTGTGCACAAACGCAAATGTTCACATGGCTCCCTTTTGAGTGTTCAGGTCTTCTGATAGCAGTGCAAAAGGAATATTTCACAGTTGTTAACTATAAAGAGTTGCACTTTAATGATTGTAGTGATCGAGTAGCTCAACTGTTACACGTTGAGTTAGCTTTTCCCTTTTCACAGTGTCAAAACAGTGATGTTAGGCACGAAATTCTGATTGTCAACACTCACCTACTGTTTCCTCATGATCCGAGTCTTTGCCTTGTACGACTGCATCAAGTATGTGAGCACTTAGTTTTGGTATTTAAACACCACTTTTTGTTACCTTTGGCATCTCACTTTGTACTTCAAAATTTTGCTTTTGTGCAGGTCTATAAGTTACTTCAATATATCGAATCTTATCAGAATGAGCACCAACTTAAGCCTTTGCCGATCATACTATGCGGGTAAACATATCACTCTGAATTTAGTGTTTTTGGATTATCAATGAAAAAATTGATTTTTGTTAACATTGATTTTGAAATAAGACAATCTATAAAATTATTCAACTTATTTAGTATCGATTTTAGTCCTAGAATCGATTCTTTGATGAAAAGCAAAAAAGTTACTTAAAATCATTAAGTGGTATTAACTAGTGATTAGGAAGGAGAATGTATCCTAATAACAAATACCCACTTCATTTTTTTGTTAATTAGTGATAATTACTTTAAAAGTTTTATTTAGGATGGTTTTAATTTCCCAGTGACTGGAATGGAAGCAAAAGGGGACATGTTTACAAGTTCCTGAGGTCTCAGGGGTTTGTATCATCATATGATATTGCACATCATTACACTGATGCTGATGCTCACAAGGTCATAACCAATAACATTACTTTCAGAATTTTCAGCTGGATAACATTCTATATCACCCACATTTGTTTTACCTTTTCTCTATGCAGTGGGTTAGCCACCACAATCATCTTGGAAACGTATGTGCTGTTGATTTTATATGGCTTCTTAACCCTGACAAATATCAAAAACTACTTCAAACAAGTTGGAGTGAAGCACTATTTAGCATGTTTAAGGTAATTGTTTGGATCATTTTATTGCAGACCTATAGGAAAGGGAAAGGGGTTGGGGCAAGGATCAAGTTTATACTTGGTAGAGATAATCTTGCGTTGGCTAACGTGTTCGTGCTAAATAGTAATACATAGTTTTTGAGAAATATTACAGTGTTCTTATTTCATAGCTTTTACCTCTGGACCTTCTGTAGACCTACCGTAAAGAATTTAGAATTTAAATTTATGGTGGCCAGGAGGTGTTAATTGAAAGTTGTTCTTTAATCAAGACCAAACTACCATCATGCTATTAATGTAGTTGTGCAAAAGAATTCTGTCACTGACAATAAGCTTCACCTTTTTCAGTATCTATTGCGAAGAGATTCACTGACAGAGAGAGATGCATTTGTTTTTCTAAAGGTTGACAAGGAAGATTGTATTACCTATTCTAGTTTCTGTGCAGCACTTAGACGGGTATGCAGTGGTATATCCATTATAATTACATGAGTAGATGAATACTTCTACATTTCAGATAGTTCTGTGTGCTTGTATGAGAAGTCCTCATCTTAATAGAGTTTTTTGGGCTTTTCCATTTTCTGCAGCTTAATTTAATTGGTCATTGTCATGGGTTAAGTGTCGAAGAGACGAAGGACTTGTGGGTTCAAGCAGAGATAAATGGAAATGGTGTTATTGATTATAAAGGATATCTGGTAAAGTAGTTCGGACTAAATTAGATATATGTTATTTGAATTTCTTACAACAAGTTCCTTGAAATCTAAATGTTCTTTTTCTCCTTAGAGCATTTAAAATACTAATGCATTGAAAGTACTAATGCATTGGACATTGCTGCCATGTCATTTGACAAACTATATAAAGTATGGAGTTCTGTCATGTGTGTAATTCAGATTAACCTTTATAACAAATGTAATTGGTAATGAAGCATGATTGATCCAACTTGTCAGCTTTCACAAACATAGTGAAGTAAACTTTTGGTCCTGTCATAGTTTTGTCTCATTATGTAAGTTATATAGATGTTCTTAGAGTTAGACTTTTTTATTCTTCACCAATAACTTTGTTGGCTAAATCATGGTCTAATTTTATGCTGTTGCAGCAGCAAATCTGGAATCCAACAGGATCAGATCAAAGAGATGACAAAAATGGGCAACATGATGATGAGGCAGATGGTAGTGAAACAATTGGTTTTAATGTAAAAAATGCAGTTCTTTTCCCCCCAGAGGTGGAAAAAGGTAGATGGCCTGAAGACTACTCTCTCTCTGATCATGCAACACTCACTGTAGTGTTCTCACCCATAAGAATGCTATGCCACACTACAAAATAATTTCCAGACAATACTTGGGAGCATTCTAGCTTAGAACTTGGTAGCAAAGCTTCATTACATAAATAACACAAAGCTATGAGTGGAATGATGGAACTGACAAGGGAACATAATGGAAATCACTGCACCATCATTAAGCAGAAGTGATTTCATATGATAGAACAAGCAAAGTAAAAGGGCAATGTGAAGCTGTACCACTTAACATTCTCATACACACCATAGACTAATGATGACATTTGAAGTAGCAAGATCCATCCCATCACTCAGTTTCCTATTCCCCAGTTAACTGAAATAAAGAAAAGATTCAATCAATTGGCAGAAAGAAAAACCATACTAATCTGTATAAGGGTTACTCGGTGAGGTGGTGCAACATGTAGAGCTTCTTGAGACAGTGAAGACTTTAGAAAAAATGTGAAACAGATTCTCTATGTAACAAATTGAAAAATTGTGCATTCCATGGACATATAACCAAAGGAATTGCATGCACATTCTAAGCAATGGTAGCAAAAGATTCTAATACAAAATAAAATGCTTTGCAAAATAATAATATCAATATCTAGGTCTACAGAGTCATTAAACCAGGCAGATTGCATCTACCCTTGAAATTTTGGCAGCCTGGATTCAGAAACCTTGATGTTGAATTTGCTAGCTGCTGAAAATATATTAGTTTAGTACGAAAAATGTCAAACAGTTAAGGGATTGTTTGATTTATTTTGTTTTTAGTTTTGGAATGACGACAAATTTGTTAAGAGGTGATTGGCATGTTAATTTATTTTTTTATGTAAATTGATGTGTTAAATTAATAATTACAAAAATAATTAAATTAGTTTTACTCTTTCATTTTTTACTTAATTACCTTGTTGGTCTTTTATTTTCTTACTACATTTAATTTGGTTTCACTTTCAAAACATGGTTCAATCAAGTTTTTCAATTTAAGAAAAAAACGTTATTTGTACTAATTGTAAAATATGAAGTTACTTTTAAAAAGATTAATCTGGTTTTAAAACTTATAATTTATTTTGCAACTTATTTATATTTTAAAAAATACTTTTAAATTATATTATTAAATTTTGAAAAATAAAATTAAAAATATTCAACCCTTTATTATTCCTAGTCGAAATATACTTGCTACCATGAAGGATACGCATGCAGATTAATTAACAAACCTGCAATAAAAAGAATGAATCAATTTCTCAGAAAACTAAGTACAAGGTCCTCCTCTCCTCAATCAGGATATGGTTCCAAACACTAAATAGAACTTCTATTTATTTATGAACCACTTTATCATTTCTACTGTAACCAGTTTCTAAATAATATGCTGATAATTCACTCATTTCAGGATTTATGGCATCACCACATGCCAAAAATATGAAATAGTCTTCGTCCTTTTCATACATTTTTCATTTTTCAAAGTGTAAACATGTACAAACTACAAAGAGAAATAAGTAGGAGGAAAGTCTAAAATCATTTGAATACAAGATTCAATACCATATCACATAAAGATACTAAAAATTAGTACACAAAACACTTGAAAATACTTCTATATACTTGCATAATAATTTACCTTTCCAATATTTCAGCATTGTGACTTTCAGATAAAGATCATCCAACAGAAAAGCAAAATTATCCTAGTTATTTGAGTAACTTAATCATTCTACGCATCATCTTCGTCACTGTCTTCATAGTCAAAATCTGACTCATCATCACTCCTTGGTTGTGTTAGTGAATCCATGTCAAATGATGATTCCATTTCCATTTCCATTTCCATTTCTTCCATGTCAATAGTGTCATAGTCCATTCGTTGCTCAAATTTCTCATCAGAACAATTAAGCATCCATGACAAAGAACACTTTAACCCTTTCTTGGCAACCCTCACATGCCTAGGCTTTATAGTTGACTCCAAAGCATAAGTGAAGAATGCAGGGAATGTAACCAAATCTTCCAAAGGCCTTTTCATCTTCATTTGGAAGTAATCAAAGCTAAGTTTCATAATGTCAATGTTTAAAGCGAGTAATTGAGGACATGCAACAATCATCTTCCTTATCTGAGGCAATGAAAAGCCACAATCCTTAAGAAAATCAACATGCTTCAGCATAGGTCCCCTAATGAGGCTAACTACCTGTGGCATCTTCTCAACAACTCGGGCAAAGTCCTCTGTTTCCAATTCAAGCACCGAATTGAGTATAATTCTCTGATTGAAAAGCTTTGAATTTAAGTCAGTTCCAATGATGTCAGGATACTGAGCAATTATAGAAGGAAGTGATGTTCGTCTAACACTAAAATCTTCAAGGGATTTAACATTTGGTTTCACCTTCTCATCCAGCCCAAATCCAAGAATATAAGGTCGTTGCTCTATCAATCTAGCAATGGCTAACCTTCGAATTCCCAAACTTTCCAGATATTCCACAAAAGGCTTAATGATTCTACCAACTCGCATACCCAAAATCTCTGGATATTTAGTTAAGACACCTCCAATTTGTCTTCTTCCTACACCAATTCCAATCAAATAAGCAACCGATGTGCTCATGGTTCCCTCAAGTTTGAAGCCAAGCACTTCAGGGTACCTCTCAAGAACACGAGGAATATCCTCAGTCTTGATATCCATCCCCTTAAGATAATTAACCACTGGCATAAGATCCACAACAACACTAGCATGGAGAACTTGTGGGTATCTCTGCAAGAACAACGTAATGGAGGATTTCCTCACTCCCAATTTACCAAGATAGTCAAGCACAGGAATCATGTTCTTCTTGACGCTGCAGCCAAGAACAAGTGGATAATTGTTGATATCTTCAATTGTAAGCCCCAAACTATGAAGAAAATCTATGCGCTCCCTCATAACATCAACAGTCACAGGAAGTTCAAGACCATCAAGCTCATCAGGAACAATGCCAATTGTCTTCAAGAACTCATAAACTTTTTCCCTTAGTGCAGCCTTCTCTTTCTTCATTTCTGATAAACTAGGACGGCTATATATCGATGAGGAACCTCCCCGGCGACGATTCATTCTACCGGACTCCGATTCAGGCGTCGGCGAATACACCGAACCAGAACTAAATGTCCTATCAGCAACAGAATACTGAAGTTTCGAAATCAACTCCATTCTTCTAATGCAATCTCGTGATAACCGTAGAGCAAGGGTAGCACTCAGCTTACAATGACCAAATGTTAGAATAGGCATTTCCGATTGGCCAATCAAAAAACTGGGTTTTGCTATGCTACCAGAAAAGTTTATTACTTTCATATTTTCAAGGTCCAATCACTACCGTTGGATTGAATCTGCAGAAAGAAAAAAGAAGGAATCACTCAGTTGAATGAGCAATTGTTGAACATAATTGAAACGGGAACAAAATTACAAACTTTAACAAATGAGAAAGATGAATAACAAAACCAAAAGAACCCCAGAAGTTCAATGTTTGGGGTATAACCTTTGAAGCCTTTAAAGGATTCTGCCGCATAAACACCAAAAAAAAAAATGGAGAAAAAATTATAAAGCTTTTCATGCTTAATTAAGGAAATCGTAACAATAGTAATGTGAGGGATAGGGTGGAAGAGATTGAGAGATAGAGATGAACTTACAGTTATTGGAAATTGACGAGGCTGTGCACAAGTTTCACTTGGAACTGAGGGAGCAAGAAAGGATAACAATAACTACAGAGGGTTTATAGGATCTATCCGGCTGTGCCTGTTTCGTCTGAAGAATGTATCATTTTTTTTATTCGTTATTTTTATTAAAATTTAGAACAAACTTTTAATTCTTTCATTTTTTTTCAGTACGATTAATATATATTTGTTTCCTTGTAAAAATTTAAAATTCAATTTTAATCATTTAAAAAAATTTCTTATTTTTCATTGATTTTATTTTAAAATGTTTATTTATTTTCTAAAATAAAGTATTGTGTTAATCAAAATTAACTATTGACATTATTATACTGCGATTTCTTAATTATGTTGCCTTATGTTAGTTTTAATTTTATATTCGTTTAAATAATATAAAGAATCAAATGTATTAAAGGTTTACAGTTTAGCATGGTGTTCAGATAGATAATTGTAATAAAATAATTTATTTTTAATATAAATTTTGAAATGTTGTATGTTGTTTGGATAAAGAATTTTAAATTTTATAATTATATAAAAGTAATTAGATTATTTAAATTAGATAGTTTTAAATTGTATTTTAAAGATACTAAATTGAAAATTTTCATATTTTTAAACTCAAGTAATTTTTTTTTTCATTTTCTCTTTTCCGTTTGATTTTGATAAGGGTTTATGAGTTTAACTAGAATTAAGACTTTGTTGTTTTAATTGAGATATGTGTCATAATTAAATTTTCTTTTTTTAGAATATTGGTGAATATTTTTTTTTTCAGCGTTTTTTTATGTTAAACACATTTTTATTTAATTTAGATTAATTTGAGTTATTTTCATTTGATTTTACTCGAGAGTATTTGTCAACCAATATCAATTAAAATTATTTTCGAAATATTGTAGGTCAAGGTTATTTCTCTATTAAGATTATTAAGAATTTTCGTAATGAAGGTTGATTATAGTACCTTTCAATTGATGTCAAGTAGGTAATTAAACAACTTAAAACTGAATATTACCTGCCACTTAATTTAAGTATTTAAGTTCTTATAAATGAATATCAAATTTAGAACTTTTTCCATTATATGATATACGATTCACTTTTGTTCACTTTTTCTAGTAAGTTAGTGACATCTTTAAGACATTGATACCTTACAACATTTACTCTATTTGTTAAAGAAACATGATTTTTTTTTCTTTCAAATTTTAACAAGGTTATAAATATGTAAGGGATGTGCTCCCTTCAATATAGGGTTCATATATCTAGCTAGATCAATTGTTATATGTCAATACACATTATGTCTCATATGCTTGAGTCTACTTGATATAATATTGAGATGATCAATATAATTTTGGGTTTTGTTCGTGATTTTTTTTTTTTATGTTTTTAATTAAGAGGTTGAATAGTCACCTAGAGAGATAAAAAGCTAGAGGAAAGTGAATCATTTATGTTTTCATATGGAAAATAATTATACATATAATGGGAATAAAAGACAGCACTAGTAGACAATAAAGACTACTTAGTAAGACTTTATGTGAAATTGAGAGAGTCTTTTATAGTTTGGCCTAAAAAATGATATACATGTAATGACAAATATATGAGTTTTGATAGAAAAAATAGGTTTCTCTTTGTGAGAACTTTAAAGTTATAAGAATCCAAATTTGACCTTAGCAAGATAGCTTACAATGATTAACATGTCTTACCACTCACATTCACATCTTTCTTGAGTGTGACTCAATATCTTTCTCCAAATTTGATATAAGAATGTCATTCCCCAAATTTTCTCATTAGTTAGTATTAGTGTTTCGGCTCTTGATATTTAATTAGATTTTCTTTTTCGCTTTTATTTGTTTAAATATTTTTGGATTTATGGTAGGAACTAGTTTTAAAGTTTCCCCTTAACTTAATGCATATCATAAATTATTTATTGATAATTTTTTTTCGCAAATTGAGATCAAATTAAAATAGCAATTTAAAGAAATAATGTTGGATGAATATTGGAAAAGAGATGTTGTAATTCTGAGAGGAGAAAGAGAGATGAAGAAAAGGAAAAATGGAAAGTTAGCAAAAAAGAAAGAAAATTTATGCATAAAAGCAAATGGAAAAGAAGGAGTTATGAGAAAAATAAATGGAAGAGAAGGGATTGAGAGAAAAAGAAATGGAAGAGAAGGAGTTGAGAGAAAAAGAAATGAAAGAGAAGGAACTACGAAAATAATATATTTTAAGAGGGGTTATTTTTCGGCGGTTGCATAAACCCCTAATAATATATTTTCGCTTTCTCTTCTTCGCACTAATGGCCGCCACGCCTCCTTCCTTTTCCCCTCTCGCACCACCTGTGCCTCTCTCCTCCACGAATTACAGGTTCTCCACTAACTTCAGTTACACTGTTTTTTAATCATTTTGTTATTAGTTATTAAAAATGTGACATTTTGTTTTTTACCTTTATTTTAGTTTTTTCATAAACATAGTCGTCTCTGACTATTAGGTTTTGAGAGAGAAAGAAATAAAATCATCAGAGGTAGAGAGAAGGCAAAGAGAAAAGGGGAAAGCACTATTCACATTTAGATCGGAGAGAACAAGCACCAGGGAACAATGGAGGTGAGAAACCAGAGAAAGAGGAAGTCACACACACTCTCAAAGGTACTGAATGAATTTCTGTTGATTATTTATATAGATTTATAGCTTTTATATGAAACAATGGTTTTGAAACGATTTTAGATTTTATTTGGATCAAATCACTTTTTAGATTTTGAAATGAGTTGACCTATGTTGAAAATCAAACTGAATTGATTTGGATTAAAGGTCAAGTTGATTCGACCCATGTTGAAGGTCGAATTTAGCCTCTTGAGATCTAGATCTAGGTGAGTCATCCCAAGCCTAGGGTTAAACTGAATTGACATAGTTTCAGGTGGAGCTAAGTCAACTTGGACCCACATCGAGTTGAGTCGACCTAGGCCCAAGTGAAATTGAGTTAACATGGGCCTATGTTGAGTCAAGACAATCTAGGCTTAAATTGAGTTAAGTTAGTGTAAAACTAGGTTAAGGTGAGTTGGTTTAAGATGAGATTGAGTCAATTCGATCTTGATCCAAGTTATTTTAAATGTCAAGTCAACTAATGTTAAGGTTAGATGACCCTAATCCAAGGACTTATCTTATTTGTGCTAATAAACTTAATAGTAAAATATTATATATATATATATATATATATATATATATAATAATAATAATAATAATAATAATAATAATAATGAATTTAACCTAATTAACAATTCAATCTATATTTAATGCAATTTAAATTGATTGTAAAATTTAAGTATGGTTGATTTAGTTAAAATGTCTTTGAAATATATATTCACTCTTTTTTATTAGATTTAAATTAGATTTTAAAAAATCCAATTCATTATTACTCTTAAAAAATAAAAAGTTTTATAAAATAAGATTCAATTAACTAATTTTTATAAATTTTATTTTTAATAGTAAAATAATCAAATTTTATTCATAAGAAACTACTTTTATTCTTACCCATATTCTATATATTCTATAGTTCTTTTACACCTTTTCCTACAACATATAGCGTAAAAACATTTTCCAAACTAACACAAAGCAAACTAAGTCTGAATCTATAGCTGGTTAAATTAAAAAATCACTTGAATTTGTTCTAACCAAATGTATTTCAACATTTTTTAAAAATATAACTTTATCTAAAAAGCTAATATCTCTAGAGGGTCAAATTCTTGATAAAGCTATAACACCAGTTGTGGTATATTCATGTTGCCCATAGACATTGAAGTCCTAATTTAAAGATTGTCAACTTTTTATTCATAAAATTTTATATTAGTTTGTTGCCAACTATTCAAAGTTTAACTTTTTAACATGTTATATAATTTTAACATTTCATTCTTCAATCAACATGATTTTATTATTTTATTCAACTTAAAAATATTTTCATTTTGTTCTAAATAATCGTAGAACAGCTTCCGCTTTTATTGCTTCATTTCTTTCCACTGTTTTTTAGTAGAATTTGTACATGTGATTAAAGCCATGTTCCAACATTTATGATAATATAAATTATAGGATAAAGGTCTTTGTCTTAAAAACTACTAAAGTATTATTTGTACATGTGTATGCGTAAGTCGTTTTTCGTATGACATATATAACGTTTTACAGTAAGCACTCATATTATTTTGTTTAATTTAGATATTTATTTTTTAAACTGTTAATTTGTGTACTCAGTCTGAAAACAAGATTAATTATAACATAATATTCTAAACACTAATTTAATAATATTTTTATAAATTAAATTGTTAAATTTCAGTAGGGACTTATTATCCATAATTTATATTAGTGGTATGCAAAGAATAGTGCCTTTCTCTTTATTTTAATAATTGTAAACAATTAATGTTGGTTTTCAATATTTTGGTCTTAGAATATATATA